CGACTTAACGGTCGGGGCGATCCGGGCGCCCCTGGAACGCCTTCGGCGAGGTGCAGGTGCTAGAGAGCATCCCGAGGCGGGAAAAGCTTTTGAAGGGCCTAAAATGGGAAGCTCCGAAAACCGCCGCCCTCCCCGAGTACTGTCCGTCGTGAGCTCCCGTGGATTGCTGCCCTCATCCCCATAATGCTGTTTGACTGCATGTCGTCTTTCGCTCTTCGAGTCTCGTCAGGGGACACAGCGGCGGCGCGCATGCCGTCCAGGTAAGCGACGGCCTGCTCCCACCAGCCCCTCCGGAGGCACGCTCTCACAGGCAATGCCAAGGGGGGTCACCGCCAGGAGGGTCTCCACCCGCGCCTGGAAACAAAACGCCAATGTATATCCCAGAGCCCGATCACAATCCCCAAAGGCGTCGCACATAAGTTCAACACCTCCCCGATGTTCTATAAATACATACATTCGTGCATGCATGCCTCCCTACCTACATACATAGATATGTACATACATAGATGCATACATACATGCATGCATACAGACAGACAGACAGGCAGACGCACACACATACCTACCTACCTACCTATCTAACTACCTACCTACCTACATACCTGCACACCTATATACCTACATACCCGCATAACTACCTACACACCTGCCGACCCACCTATCTACAACATACATACATGCGTCCATACACACAATCGCACACGCATACACAAGCATGGATACTTGCATACAACCATGCACATACATACATACATACATACATACATACATACATACATACATATCTACACACATACACATACACACATACATACATACATACATACATACAGACAGACAGACAGACAGACAGACATACATACATACATACACACGGACATACACACAGACATACATACATACATACATACAGACATACATACAGACATACACACATGCTTACATACAGTCGTGCGTGCGCGCGTGCGTGTGTGTGTATGTGTGTGCGTGCGTGCATGCATGCATTCATACACGCATACATACACATATGCATGCGTGCATGAATACATACGCACATAAGCAGGTACACCTAATAATCTGCATACTCACACACCTGCATGACTACATGCCCACATAACTACACACGTACATAGATATATGCACGCACACACATGCATACATGTGCCCATATATCCATATATGCATACAAACGTACATGCATACATGCCTATGCACACATACATCCATAATTACACACATGCAAGCACACATGCGTGTGTGCATACATACAGTCGTGCACACATAATTACATGCATACACGCACCTGCATACATGTGTACATACATGCATGCATGCATACCGGCATACATATATACAAACATACGTGCATGTATGCATGCGTGTATACATACATGCATGCATACAGACCTACGTATAGACATACACGCATGCCCACCATCCCTTCCTTTCATCTACCTACCTACATACATACTTACATGTATGTAGACATGCATACAAATATACCTAATCACTTACACACATACCTGCATACCCATAGACACACACATACATACATACATGCATACATTCATGCCTACGTGCATGCATACATACATATGCGTGCACACGTATAAAACTACATACAAATACGCATGCATACATACATGCATGCACAAAAACATACATACATACAGAAAAACATACAGACGAACAGACAGACAGACAAGCACACGTACATTTACATACACATATATATATATATATATATATACATATACATACATATATATACAGATTCTCCTCGACCATCGAGTTCCAGGGGAAGTGGAGACCCCCGAATTTACGAAACAATTACCGGGAGGTCTTCGTGGGAGAAATACACGGAATTTGACCCGATTAAACACCACTAAGCCAAACCAAGCCGAAGTATCCCAAGAGATCCAACGGGATTCAGCCAGACTGAGCGGGATATACCGAGGCAGGGCAACTCTCGGCCGCATGCCAGCGCCGATGCTCAATTTACCCCCAGGATTGCGACCGAGCCTGAATTCCGACGTCAAGGAAAAAATGCAACACAATGAACAGTCCCGACGAGAATCCTCGACACCATCTTTCTGCGGGGCGTCTCGGGCCGAACCGATCGGCGAGGATCCCAGGGCCCGACAGCGGGCGGCAGTGCCCGTTGTGAAGAAATGCGGCTCTGGGATCTCAGGAAAGCACACCTGAATCAATGCGGTGGTTGCTAAGAGGTAGGGGGCTCAGAAGTGGATGCCAAGAGGACGGATAGGTTGCCAAACATAGCTTGGCTCAGGGGGGGTAAATACCCAGGCTCGGTGGACTCCGCCCACTTAGCGGGGACACTCAGGGCACCAGAAGCCCACTCTTCAGCTAGATCAGGCCAAGGATACCCCACCTCAGGTGCCACTTAGTAACCCCTATGTCACCTTAGCGACCCCCCGCGGTGATTCCGGTAGTTGGCGGCGCGCACAAGGGGGTGGGGGGAGGGTGGAGGGCTTCTCAC